GGAAAACTGTACTGTGTCCTTGAGCATATTATCAACTGTAAGATTTTTATTAATACACTTTATCAGAGAGAGGAATTTCCTCTTTGATTCCTAGTTGGATTAGAATGGGTTTTTTTGGTCACGAATAAATTTTTAATTTTGTCATGTGCTTTTCTATTCATATTATGAAAAGACCCTGTGGTTTTGTTTCTTTGTTCTGTTAATATGTTGAGTGGTATTGATTGACTGCCGAATGCAAAACTAACCTTGCATTTCTGGGATAAACTGTTTTATCATGGTGTATCAGTCTGCAAATAAATTTCTGCATTGAATTTGCCTATATTTAACTAAGGATTTTTGTATCTATGATTATTAAGAATAGTTCTTTGTAATTTTCTTTTGAAAATATTAAATTCACATTTTACTATAGGAAATTAATTTTTCTCACCAAAATAACAGCTATCATTACTATATTATTACTACACAAACAGAAAAGTTCCTATCTTCCCAGATAGTTCTTATAAATCAGAACAAGGTAGTAGATATAGATTCATTCAAATAGATGGTCCATATCCTTGGCTTCTGTTTCTGTTTTGACCGTGAAATAAAAGTGTTCATTGCACACCTGCTGGATGTGTATGGTTGGGTTAAGTTCTAAATTCAACAAGTGAATGTAAATAACAATCATATGTGGAACACTGGTGAATTGTTTTATATTCAAACTTCAATTTTCTTTTTATATTTACTTAATGGAGACAAAATCGATACTGAAATCTCTTTTGTGAACTCACAGTTTCACAACATACAGAAACACCTTCTAGTCAGTGTTCAGTCCTGAACTTTATTGTAATATTTAATAAGATATATTTATTCTCCCACACCTCCCCAGATTCACTTCTTCAAAGAACTAGTAACTAACACATGATAATTATATTTTTGGCAACAAGAACGTTATGCTCAAATGACAACTAAAATTCTCCAGAGTGCCACCCACAGAAATCCCACGGAAATGAAATGTTCTTTCAATACTGTCTTCAGAAAAGTGATGTCTTCAAAGATGAAAATTCAGTGAACTTTTAGTAGGTAGGTAAATCTAACATTTAATAGGTAGATTTTTCAATGTTTAATTTATTAACTGGAATGAGACACTATTTGATGATTAGGTGGCCTATAGATACCTACAGCTTTCCCTCCAAATATAAAATAGAAGCATAAAAACTATTCCTACTAAAAACTTCTTCTTACTATTTTTGGTGGTTTCTGAAGTACTTTTAAAAAACTCTGGCTTCACTTGACTACTACCTCACACCATGCACAGAAACCAACTCAAAATGGATTAAAGAATAAGACATAAGTCCTGAAACCATAAAATACATAGAAGAAAATATAGGTGAAACACTACATGACATGCACCTCAAAGACATATTTACATACACATCGCCCAAAGCAGTGACAGTGAAGGCAAAGATAAACAACTGGGACTACATCAAATTAAAGAGCTTCTGCACAGCAGAAGAGACAATAACCAAAACAAAGAGAAACTGGGAGAAACTTTTGCACACAACACTAATGATAAAGGACTGATCACAAAAATCAACAAAGACCTGATGAGACTCAACAAAAACAAAAACAATCCAGTCAAAAAATGGGCAGAAGAGCTAAAAAGAAACTTCTCTGAAGAGGAAATGCAAATGGCCAACAGGCATATGAAAAAATGTTCAACATCACTTGTAATCAGGGAAATGCAAATCAAAACTACCATGAGATACCATCTTACACCAGTGAGAATGGCACATATTAAAAAAAAAAAAAAACAAACCTAGCAACAACAAATGTTGGCGAGGGTGTGGAGAAAAAGGAACTCTCCTACACTGCTGGTGGGAGTGCAAACTGGTCCAACCACTATGGAGAGCTGTGTGGAGATTTCTGGACCTACTAAACATAGAGCTTCCATATGATCCAGCAATTCCACTCCTAGGTATTTACCCAAAGGACACAGAAACATCAATTCCAAAGAACACCTGCACCCCTATGTTTACAGCAGCACTATTTACAATAGCTAAGCTTTGGAAACAACCCAAATGCCCAAAACTAGATGACTGGATCAAGAAGATGTGGTACATATACACCATGGAATATTACTCAGTATTCAAAAAAGATAAACACGTGCAATTTGCAGCAACATGGATGGCGCTGGAAGGGATCATGCTCAGCGAAATAAGTCAGAAAGAAAAAGAAAAGTACTGGATGGTCTCACTCATAGCAGGAATTTAGAAAACCTAAATAAGGGACCAGGAAAAAGATTAATTAATACAAAGTAAAAATCAAAATCAACAAGCAACTATAAACCAGAGACACATTACGGGGGTGGGGGGAAGGAGGGAAGGGGAGAGGAATGACTAGGGTCAAAATAAGGGGGGGTGCAATTGTATAGGGAATATAACCAAAATGATAATGCATACATTGTGAAAAAATGAAAAATGATGTAAGAATTACATAAAATAAAATATTAATTAAAAAACTCTGGCTTCAATGTATGGTTTGATATATGTACAAATCATTAAATTAAGATCATCTTCTAATATATAATTTATTTATGTATATATATTTTGCATCATTGTTCTTTTTTGTACAATGTATGCTTTCTCCTCTCAGGTGTAGTCCCCATAAAAATTCCCACCACCAATTCACACGTGCATCATCATCATCATAGTCCCACGTGTTACTCCCTCCCTGTTCTGATCCTCTCCCTCCCCCATCCCTACAGAATGTCTGTCATCTTTTGTATCAAGATTTGTGTTAATCAAAGTTATTTGGCCTCTGGGCTCTTGAAATATTTCATAATTATACTTAAGTTATTTTAATGCAATTCAGAGCTTTCATCTGAAACAAGGAAGAACAAGACCTTTACTTGAAATTAAGCAATCGAGCTGTGTTGGGAGGGGGCTCATGTACATGCTGGATGGGAACACTGTGTCTATCCCTTTGCATTCTGGCTTGAATCTCCAATAGCAAAGATTAGCAAAGAGTGTGCTGTGATTGGATAATTCTCTTTGGTCCAAGTTAGCATAGTTTTACATGTCAGCTGTTATATGACAGGTTACCAGAGATGAACATTTTAGAATTGTGAGGTATTGTTCTGAGAAAATAGCCTTCAAGTCCTGAATAACGTTCTTCATTGCTGGAACACTAAGTATTTCTTTTTTTTTTTTTTTAAATGGGGAGTTTTATTTATTTATTTTTTTTTAAAGATTTATTTATTTATACAAGCACTGGGTACAGTCAGAAGCACGGGAGGGTGAAAGAATTCACCAGAACCAGAGCGGGGAGCAGAGCAGGCAGAAGGACCGAAGTACACTGCTGAGGGGAGCAGCGGGCGGCAGGAGAGGTCTGCACGCCATGTGGAACCCTCGCTCGGCGGCCAGGGAGCAGGCGGGGATCGAACCGGCGCTGCAGAGGCTGTGGGCAGCTTCGCAACCCAGCGCTCAACCGCTGCGCCACCGGGGAGGCCCACTAAGTATTTCTTGATAGTAATTCGCAATGGTTAGTTGAGATTCCAGATTATCTATTGAGCTCCTGTGAAGTGTCACAGGAAATGTCACTTAAATATCAAGTTAGCTTGCCAAATTCCTTGCTTCCTCAAGTAAATGTTTTTAATAAACACAAAATATTTTCCATCCTTTCATGTAACACAACTCTGCAGTTTTTAGTCTGTGATCAAGGGGCACCCAGAGACCCCAACTCACCAGGGTACACTCTCTAAAACTGCCATCCACCACATAAAAGAGAAAGCGGGGTGGGGGGTCCCTGGTGGCACAAGTTGTTAAGATGCAACCTATGAAGCTATCCGCAGCCACTGCAGCACAAGTTCGATTCCTGGCCAGGGAACATCCCACATGGTGCAGCACACCTCTCCTGACTCGCCCGCTGCTCCCCTCAGCAGTGTATTTCAGTAGATCTGCCTGTTCTGTTCCCCACTCTGTCTCTGATGAATCCGCTCACCACCTCCTGCACCGCTGGCCTGTACCCCAGTTCTGTATACATAAATAAATAAATCTTTTTAAAAAAGTATCATTTTCAAAATTTGATTCTAGAATAAGTAACATAAAGATCGTATAACCTGATAAAACAATGCATCACTTTTTGAAATCATGTATTAGTTCAAGATTAATAATCAATGGAGGCCTATGGAATTAATGTAACAGAATAGAAAACATTCAGTGATATTTTTCTACCACTCACTTTGCAAATAACATTTGAAAACCACCACTTGTATAGTTTCAATTTATTGTAGAAGTGGAACAAAGTTCAGTATTCACAATTATCTGAAAGGTACTTAACACTGGGAACTTAACATTGCTATTATCACATATTTCAGAGAGGCTGTATAGTTTTCCATTGGCCAACCAAAACAAAGAGTAAATGCAGGAGAAAATGTAACAATCCTACATTCCTCTAGTGAGACACAGAAGAAAAATAATCGCACAAATAGAAGCTGTAAAAGATCCACTCATGATCCTGATTATTTTCATTAAATATCTATATTTCTTTAAGACATTTTGAACACACATTGGGTTATTAATATTATTCTAAATTAAATGAAAATATCTTAAAATTGCTTTTACTCCTCATGTAGTAATTTATTCCTCGTGTAGTAATTATTCTTCATGTAGTAAATACTGAGAGCTATAACCTCCGAAAATTATACTGGGGTCCTCGCTAATTTGTAAAACTGTGCAGCGATCCTGAATCGAAAAAGGTTGAAAATCGCTGCCCCAGTCCCTGCCCTGGACGCCGGGACACGGTGTGACAGAGGTCTTGGTGCAGGAGAGGAGGGGGCAGCAAAGTCCCAGGTGCCAGGTCAGTTCTCAGGTTCTCAACCCTTTGGGCTGTGTCTGGGGCAGGACAGGATTCTTTTCTGGATTCCTCATCTCGCCACAGTTTTCTCTTGTCTCTGTCACAACCCTTGCCAAGGTCAGAGTTCTGACTCCCCATTGGCTGGAGGGTCCAGCGCAGCCAATCAGCATCACAGCTGGACCAGTCTGGACTCAGAGTCTCCCCAGACCTCAAGAGCACCCGTCATGAGGCCCCCAGCCCTCCTGCTGCTGCTCTCAGGGGCCCTGGCAGAGACCTGGGCAGGTGAGTGCGGGCTCTGGAGGGAAAAGGCGACTGAAGAGGGTGAACCAGAGGGGCCCTGGCAAGGGGCACAGGACCCCAGGAATGGCGAGTCTCCTCCACTGCTGACCCTGTTGTCCCCCTTGACCCTTTCTGTCCCGCCCAACCTCCTGCCTCCTCTCGTCCCTCTGAGTCTCCAGCCTTCTCCTCCGCTGCCCCATTTCAATCTCAGGAGCCCCCTCGCCCCCCTCCCATCCCGCCCCGTCTCCCCGGGACCCGCGGGGAGGAGGGTCAGCCGGGGTCTCCCTCCCGCCCCCAGGCTCCCACTCCCTGAGGTATTTCTCCAGCGTGATGTCCCGGCCCGGCCCCGGGGAGCCCCACTACATCGCCGTGGGCTCCGTGGACGACACGCCGTTCGTGCGGTTCGACAGCGACGCGGCGGGGCCGAGGATGGAGCCGCGGGCGCCCTGGGCGGGGCGGGAGTGGCCGGGGTACTGGGAGGAGGAGACGCGGATCATGAAGGCCAACGCGCAGATGTTCCGAGAGAGCCTGAACAACCTGCGCGGCTACTACAACCAGAGCGCGGCCGGTGAGCGGGGCGGGCCCGGGGCGCTCACGACCCCACCCCCGCGGGCGGGCGGGGACCCCAGACCCCGGCCCGAGCGTCCCCCGAGGCAGGGGGACCCGCCGGACCCTCGACCCGGGACGAGCCCCGGGACGTTCCCCGCGAGGTTCCCGCGTCAGTTTCGGTTTATTCCCGGCGGGGGCGGGCGGGGTGACGCGGGGTGACGGGCGGGGACAGGCTCTCACACCCTCCAGAGGATGTCTGGCTGCGACATGGGGCCCGACGGGCGCCTCCTCCGCGGGTACAGTCAGGTCGCCTACGACGGCGCCGATTACCTGGCCCTGAACGGGGACCTGCGCTCCTGGACCGCGGCGGACACGGCCGCTCAGGTCTCCCGGCGCAAGTGGGAGGCCGAAGCCACTAAGCGCTGGAGGATCTACCTGGAGGGCACGTGCTTGGAGTGGCTGCGCAGATACCTGGAGCACGGGAAGGAGACGCTGCAGCGCTCAGGTAAGAGGGGCCATGAGGTCTCCCCAACCCCCTCAGGCCGGCACCGCGGGGAGGGTGGAGTCAGGGTCACAGTAGCGCCCCCTCTCTGGTCAGGGGAGGAGGAGCCCCCCCCCACCCCCGGGTTTCCTGACTTCCCAGAGGACCCCACTTTTCCTCAGAACAGTTAAGGAATCCAGTCTCTCCTGAGCCTGAGGGGAGACCAGCCCTGAAATCGCCCTTCATGGGATCCTTGTGACCAGGCAGCCCTCTTGGGAATCATCAGTGTTTCTCTCAGGGTCTTGTTATTGATCTGAGGACATTTTTTCTGATCTGACTCTGCTTTTCTGAGTCTCCAAGTCAGGAGCAAAAGTCCGTGCTCTCCTCCTTAGAGAACTGTGTCCTCCTATCCAGAGTTGTCACCCTAATTCTAGAACTTTCTAAGGAACAAGAGATTATCCCAGACTCCCCAGACCAGGCTGGTTTCTAGATTTTGTGCTTCCTCTTCTAAACACACTGCCCTGTCCATTCTGAGGATGGTCACAGGAGGGTTTTTCAGGGTCCATGAAAGAAAAACCCAAAGTGTGTAGTTCTCACCCTTCTCCTCAGAGGCCCCAAAGACACACGTGACCCACCACCCCACCTCTAATGAGAAGGTCACCCTGAGGTGCTGGGCCCTGGGCTTCTACCCTGCGGACATCACCCTGACCTGGCAGCGAAATGAGGAGGACCTGACCCAGGACACGGAGCTGGTGGAGACCAGGCCTGGGGGGGACGGAACCTTCCAGAAGTGGGCGGCTGTGGAGGTGCCTTCTGGAGAGGAGCAGAGATACACGTGCCATGTGCAGCATGAGGGGCTGCTGGAGCCCCAAATCCTGAGATGGGGTAAGGAGGGAACGTGGGCACGTTGCTTCTCAGGGGCATCAGGAGCCCTTCTGGAGACCTTCAGAGCATCAGAATGGGTTCTGGGGCTCAGGATCTCACCTTCCCTTCCTTTTCAGTGCCACCTCCTCAGCCCACTGTCCCTACTGACGCCATCCTCCCCACTGTGGACTTCGTTGCTGGCCTGCTTCTCCTTGGATCTGTGCTCAGTGTAGCTGTGGTGGCTGCAGCTGTGAGGTAGAAGATACACTCAGGTAGGGAAGGGAGTGTGTGTGGGGGGGAATCATGTCCACTGGGAGCTTTCAGGCCACAAGTAGAACTTGCCCTAACTGGTAATTAGAAGTACACTACATGTATTTGTGTTGCCCAGTCTGGAGCTGATTGCTAGCCCTCTTTTGTAAAGCATTTTTGAAAATGAATCTCATTGTTCACTTTGATAATTCTGGTGCTGGGCCCTGATTCCAGCAAATGGTAGAGGGGAAGTTCCCTGCTGAGGGCAGACCCAGAAGGCAGTTGTCACTCCCTTCTCATCTCCTTTCTTCATATTTCCTGGTCTTTTTTTTTTTTTTACGATTTATTTATTTATGCATACAAGAACTGGGGTATAAGCCAGAGGTGCGGGAGGTGAGAGGATTAACCAGAGAGAGTGGGAAGCAGAACAGGGAGATGACTGAAATCCGTTGCTGAGGGGAGCAGTGGGCAACAGGAGAGGTATGCTGTGCCATGTGGGTTGCTTCTTGGCTGGCTGGGGTTCGAACTCCTGCTGTAGTGGCTGGCAGTAGCTTGATAGCTAGCTCTGTCTTTAACCCCTGAGCCACCAGGAAGGCTGCGTATTTCCTGGTTTTGACCTAAGTGTCCAATCAGAGTTCCGGAAACATGCCTGTGGTTCACACTGGGGATTGCTGTAGGGCTTCATAGCCTGACTCCTCACATGATGCTTCTTCCCACTGGAGGAAAAGGAACCTACACTCAGGCTGTAGGCAAGTGTGGATCAGGTGTTTGGTCCCTGAGCCCCCTGGACAGTGTATATGTAGCAACAGAAGGCGCCTGTCATTGCACCCACAAGGCCCATGGTGTCCCCTGCACACAGGAGTCTGGTGAGATCATTTCCAGACTCATCTGATTTTCAGCCTCATTTAGGACTTTTTTCTGGATTATTCTGTCCATCTTTTCCAACAAATTCTGGTATTACTAGAGAGGAGGATTTGATATTTTCCTTATGGATTTAGATAAGTTCCTGATAGATTTATATTTTTCTCTACAGCTTCTCCCTGTAACCCTTCCCTTAAATGTAGTAACCCCAGTGGCCGTGCCAGTTGAGACCTGTGGGTTGATGGAGTCAGTTACCCTCATAATTGGCTGGAAAATAGGACCCATAAATCTGGGAAACTGGTCCTCCCTGCTAGCCCAGGGGTTAAGTCTCAGCATTCACCTCTGCACCCCAAGTTCAATACCCAGCCAGAGAACTAACCCACATATGGCACAGCAGACCTCTCCTGTTTTGCCCGCTGCTCCCCTTGGCAGTGTATTTCAGTAAATCTGCCTGTTCTGCTCCCCACTCTGTCTGGTGAATCCTCTCACCCTCCACACCACTGGCCTACACCCTAGTTTTGTATGTATAAATAATTAAAAATAAATCTTAAAAAAAAACCCTAGGAACCCCTTTTCAAAAGAAATATACCAGTGTAATGTGCCACATTAGTAGAGACACTGTCTCTAGAATGGGGAGGTGCTCTATACTGATGACACAACCAACAACTGTTGCACCAGACGTGTGACTGACTGTTTTTGCATCTAGGAAAACTGAATGAACTAAAAAATGCACAACTTGCAGCCTGTGGAGAGTGTGTCCTAGTGGGGAGGGGAGACTGGGGACTGTGTGACAGTAGATCAGACAGTAAACCACGCATGTCTGGATAGAAGTGGGTAAGGGATGTGGGAAGGATGGTTTTCTTCCCAGCATGGTCAGTGTGGGTCTCACTGAAGTGACCTTTGAGAAAAAGTTTAATGGGCACGTTGCCCACAAGCATGTGATGTGCGGGGAACTTCAGTCCAGACAGGGCAACCTCCAGTGCAGATGCCTGAGCAGGAATGTGTCTGTGTGACTGACATGAGCAAGGAGGCCAAAGGCTGAGCAGAGGCCAATGAGATGGGACCTGTGTGCACCCAGGTCATTCAGGCCTCGAGGATGTTGGGAGCATTTGACTCTCTTAGTAAGATGTGGGGGTGCAATACCTTCTGAACAGATACATCTGTGGGACTTCTCTCTGGTAGCTGAGTCTGGCTGCTGTGTAGCATGGAAGGGTGAGAGGTATAAATAAAAATGGAGGAAACCAGTGCAGGTCCCAGGACATAGAGGTTGGTGGCTTCGTTGGGGGGTGAGCAGGAAAATAATATGAAGTGACAGGACTGTGCATATGTAGACATGGACTTTACAGAGTTTCCTACTACTGGGCTGTGAGAAAGGGGACAAGGATGACACTCAGTGTCTCAGACTGTGCAGGCAGAGAGGCGGAGCCTCAGTGACATGGGGAAGACCCAGAAGAACTATATGTGGGCATCCTAGGCACTCAATTTAGGAAAGTTGAATCAGATCTATTAGAGTTGAAAGTGATGTCGGCAATTGGACAGACAAGTCTGGGGCACAGGTGAAATGTCTGACGTAAGAAAGAGATCTGGGAGGTGATGTGATGTAAATGATATTTAAAGTCTTGAGCATGTAAGGGTCACCCAAAAAGTGATGACTAAGCAAGAGAAAGGAGCAGAATTGAACCCCAGAATCCACAGTGATGAGCAGTTGGAGCAGACACCCCCCAGAGCCGACTATACAGTCTGACCCCACATGGAGAAGACCCAGAGACCAGGGAGCCCCCACTTCAGTGAGCACAGGATCACCTGGATGCTCGTGAAGACTCAGAAGGTCTAGAACAGAACCTGAGAGTCTGTTATTTGGCTCCTTCCCTCACCCTAGGGATGGAGAATTTAGGGCTGATGCTCAGGATAAGGCACTTTCATCCCTGGAAGGAGGAACAGATAACAGGGACTCGAGTCCAAGTTCCCATCCAAAGAGATTGAGGGAAACTGTATAATTTGGGGACCCAGAACTAGGGGAGCAACTGTTATGACCTAGACACCTGGCTCTTCCCTGAGGCCTGTACCCATAGTTACCCACCAGGTGGTCAGTTTGAGAACTCCTAACCTGAAAGTGGACCTGTCCTGATGCTGGGAGCACAGGGAACCCTGGAGAGGACCTGGCTGAGCAGGAGAAAGGGTAGCTCTGGTCTCCTGTGCTCAGCACTGTGGCCACACGGGGGCGCTGCCGCGCTGTTCCGGATTCTGGTGGAGCTGCCAGACGGGGTGGGGTCTGAGTTGAGCAGAGTTGGGGGTCCTGCAGGGCGGTGTCCTGGGGCAGAGATGCTCTGTGAGGAGTCAGAGCAGTAGGGCTCAGAGGAGAGGAGACTCTGGAGCCTGCCCTGTGCGTGAGGTTTCTAGCTTTCCTCCCCAAAACTCTTCTCTCTAGTCTCTTGAAAGCAATACCTGCTCTTCTCTCTAGTCTCTTGAAAGCAATACCTGGGAAAACTGGGAAATTCATCATTTTTCCTACTCCAGCCTATAACTTTGTTGAGAGCTATTTTTTAAATTTTTTTTTTAAAGATTTATTTATTTATGCATACAAGTACTGGGGTACAGGACAGATGCACGGGAGTGTGAGAGGATTCACCAGAGATAGAGCGGGGAACAGAACAGGCTGACTGAGGAAATACACCACTGAGGCGAGCAGCGGGCGAGACAGGAGAGGTGTGCTGCGCCATGTGGGACCATTGCGGGCTGGCTGGGATCTAACCAGTGCTGCAGAGGCTGTGGACAGCTTCACAGTGCGTCCCTCAACCACCTGCACCACCAGGGGAGGCCCTAAAATGTTGTTTGGATTTAAAATTTAATTTCAAATGACATTTTAAAAAATAATACTGTTAGATTGACAGAAACGTGGCAAAGGTAGTAGAGCTCCCATATAACCCACATCATATCCATATTAACATCTCATGTGACCACAGTGCATTTGAGCCACTAAGGAAGCAATATTGATGCACTTTCAGTGAAGTCTGCACTGTATTTGGATTTCATTAATTTTCCTAATGCTTTTCTCATGCTCCAACATCTCACCCAGGACACCAAGTGAAGTTCCAACCACGTGTCCTTAGTTTCTCTGGCTGACAATTTCTCAAACTTTCCTCTTCTGATGACATCTGTGAGCAGAGCTACTCAGGCACAATGGCTTCAATTTGAGGCCATTCTCCATCAGCACATCAAGTGTACAAATATCCACTTTCATTTTTCATTTATTTAGTTATTGTTGTCTTTGGAAGGAAGTCACTATGGTCAGCTCACACTTAGTAGGGGTTCTGCTATAAACATTTACTTCCATGCAGGGTGTTTTGATTTGATTTCTTTGCTGTTTTGCAAATGCAAGTTTTCATGTTAGTTGGGTAAATAGTAGGGACAGTGATTGCTGGACTGTATGGTTGGTCTGTGTTTGACTTTAAAAGAAATGTCAGATTCTCCCTAGTTCATCCTATCCTGCTGTGTTTTAGACAAATGTACAATGACGTGGGCACCATAGTGTGTCCTACGCAGTAGACTCACTGCCCTGAAAATCTTCTGTGCTCCAAGGAAACAGAAGCAAAGAGAGACCAGTGGAGACACATCAAACTGCAAGCTCCTGCCCAACGAAGGAAACTGTCATTAAATGTAAAGACACCCTATGGAGTGAGAGAAATAATTTGCATATCATACATCCAAGATGTATGAATAATACATATAAGTCAACAACCAGAAAACAACCCAATCAAAAACGCGGAGAGGAACTAAGTGGACACTTCTCCAAAGAAGATACAGATGGCCACAGGCACATGGAAAATGCTCCCATCACACATCATCAGGAGATGCAGATCAGGACCACAATGAGACACCACCTCGCACCTGTGAGGTGGCTCATATTAACAAGACCAGAGACAGCAAGTGTTGGCAAGGTGTGGGGGAAAAGGAACCTTCATACACTGTTGTGGGAATTGGTCCAGCCTCTATGGAAAACAGTATGGAGTTTCCTCAAAATATTAAACATAGATCTGCCAGGGGCCCCAGCATCCACTCCTTGGGGTTGATCCAAAGAATGCAAAAGCTCATTTCAAATGATATGTGCACTTTTTTTAAAATTTATTTATTTATACAAGCACTGGGTATAGTCAGAAGCGCGGGAGGGTGGGAGAATTCACCAGAGCCAGAGCGGGTAGCAAAACAGGCAGAAGGACCAAAGTACACTGCTGAGGGGAGCAGGGGGTGCGGCAGGAGAGGTCTGTGCGCCATGTGGGACCCTCGCAGGCGGCCAGGGATCGAACCGGTGCTGCAGAGGCTGCGGGCAGCTTCGCAGCCCAGTGCTCAACCGCTGCACCACTGGGGAGGCCCCATATGTGCACTCTTGTGTTCACTGGAACAGTATTTACAATCGCCAAATTATGGAAACAATCTATGTGCATAAAATAGATGACTGGAACTCTTGTGGCAGGTACATGAAATCTTGAATTTACAACAACATGGATGGAAATGGTTTAAAGTATGCTAAGTGAAATAAATCAGGAGAACCACAAATACCAAATGATATGATTCCTATGTGTAATATATAGAAACAAAGCAAAGGAACAGATAAAACCTAACCTGCCCTTGGAGTCTGGCTGCAGAACTGAGGCTCCCAGAAGGGGTTGCGGGGGGAGCAAAAGGAGTAAGAAGGCCCACAGGAACACAGGGGAGGACTCTGGGTGCATTGGAGGTGGGGGGAGTGAGGGAACTCGCATCTGAAGAGGTGAGTCTCCGACTTTGAGTCATGTGCAATGTGTAAACGAGTGTTACTTTAAAAAATACAGTAATAAAAAAACTTTTAAACCAAGAAAAAAATTAACTTGTTTTCTCCATCAATCACTACCTCAGGACTTTGCTTCGCCTCCTCACTGTCATGCAGGGTGAGGGTCTGGTTTCTCTCAAGGTCAGAGGCAGGAGGTGCAGGGACTCCTGGGGCTGCTCAGACACCACTGAGTAGAGACACTGCAGAGAAGGTGGCTCTGAGGGGACCAGAGACAGAGGGTCAGAGTAACCCCAGTGCAGAGTGAGGATCTGGTTCCCAAGGAGAGTTGTGTGTGTGTGTGTGTGTGTGTCAGGAGAGACAGGGCACACAACATAGACAGTGGGAGGACAATTACACATCAAGCCCAGCATAAATGAATTCAAATCCCACAAAGAGCAAAGAATGTCAGGACATCACCTCAATGGCAAAAGTTCTATCAAGAGGGCCTCCCCTGGTGGCGCAGCAGTTGAGTGCTGGGCTGCGAAGCTGCCCGCAGCCTCTGCAGCGCATCAGGTGACAGACCTCTCCTGTCGCTCTGCTGCTCCCCTTAGCAGTGTATTTCCGTCAGTCTGCCTATTCTGTTCTGCTCTGGCTCTGGTGAATTCTCTCACCCTCCCACACTTCCGACTGTACCCAGAGCTTGTATAAATAAATAAATAAATAAAATCTTTAAAAAAAAAAAAGTTCTATCAAGAAGCTATTTTGGGAGGATAATTGCACATCAAGCTCCAGCATAAATTGATTCCAGTCCCACAGAGTGAAGAGTGTCAGGCAACACACCAATAAGCACAATTCCATGGAGAAGCAGGTTTGGAGCAGGACTTGAGGCAGCAGAGGATCTGGAGACAGGAGGGGGTTGGGACTATTCCCGTGGTTAGATGTAAGGAGCCTGGGTGGGGCCCTGCTGGGCTGTGGGAGCAACCCCCTCTCCCCCCTCCCCCCCCCACAGCTCCCTCTCTCCTTTAATGCTCACTCCTGGCTCATCTCCTTTGGAGTCAGGGAGCTCCAGCCTGGCAGCCCCTCTGTCTCCCAGGGGCTCACTGCCTCCGTGGGCTGCAGCTACTTTCTCTCTAGACCAGAGCTGGAGGGAGTCCCACAGGGGGAGGGAGGAGTGTGTGCCCTGCTGGTTGGCCCAGGGTCAGGATTAGCCCAGGTCACCCCCACCCCCCCACCCCCCCACCCCCACCCCTGTTCCTGAGCTGAGCCTTTGTCCACAGTCCAGGAAGGGAGGGGAGGGGGAGATGGAGCAGGGTCTCCCTCAGCTCCTGGAAGAAGGAAAAATGTTAGAGTGGGTGACATGTGAAATGATTGTTTTTCATTTCTGGGGCTCTCCCACCTCCCCAGGGTCACCCTCCGTGTGCAGCAGGGAGAGGATCTCAGATAAACCCAGGCTGGTTCCCCCACCTCCCTCCCTCCCTGCCTCACCTCTGTGCTCAGGATGACTGTCCTGGTCCACACTGGAAGAGGAGGCAGAAAAGGGGTGTTACCACATTAGCCACCAGGATTGGAGGTGTTTTCCTTTTTACTGTAAAAGTTCTATTATTTTTTGTGGTTATAATGATGTGAAATAGAAAATTGTGTGAGAGGAGAAAATGTTAACCCCAGCACACAATGAAAGCAGGACAAAAAGGCAAGAATGAAAGAAAATAAACATTTTGCCTCTGCTGTGGCAGCTGCAGTGAGGAAGGGTCCCTGAGCTGAGGGGACTGAGGCCTCAGTGTGGTCACATCCCCTGGAAACATCCAGAGTGAGGGTTGGGTCCTCTTCGTGACGGGCGCCCTCTACCTGCCCAGGCAGCCATATGTGATTTAGTTGAATTTAAAAATTCCTCCTGCTGTTGCTCTTGTGATGGAGGGAGACGAGGGGAGAGAGGAGGTGATGACAGAGGCTGGGCCCCAGACTGCTGCAGACATGACCAGGTTCTGACCTCTGTGTTCAAACAGAATAAATATAAATCTTCACATAATAGCCCTTGAAATATCTGAAATCTTTGTGTTCTTAAGGAGGGTAAATGCCACCAACAGACATTGTTTTCAGTCTGTGTTTGATGGAAATGTCCTAACAAGTCATTACCAGAAACAAGAGTCCTCCTGAGTGGCTTTTGTGTAACTGTATTAATTTCTTGACTCAAATGACCTATATTTGGGGTGCCCTCCGCTGGGCACTGGGGTGCAGAGTGAGCCGTCCCGGGACTCTGTGGGTCTGTAACTCAGAGTCCAGCTGGAGACGGGCCTAGGGAGCACAGAGCGAGGGGCCCCTGACCTGGGAGCCTCTGGGCCTCCTCCTTGAGGAGGTGACAGGTAACCTGAGCCCCAGGGAGAGTAGGAGGTGACAGGGAGGTGAGTGACCCTGAGGAGACAGGGTGAGGGTCCTGGGTGTTGGGCGAGGGGTGGGTCCAGGGCTGGGCACGGACAGGAGCTGGAGCCGCTGCAGCGGAGGCTGAGGGGCGTGGGTCTTCCCCTGGGCTGAGGAGCATGGGCCTCCCCTTAAGCCCCCTGGAGTCCCCATGGGACTCCAGCCTGTCTTACCCCAATCACGCGGGTGGGGACCGCAGAGGGACTCCCCTCCAGAACCTCAGTGTCCTCACCTGCATGTGGTGAGGTTAGGGACACGGTGAGGATGGTGACCTGATGCCTGTGAGCTCAGGGCATGGCACATCCTGGGTGCTCAGCCCCTGTCTGCTCTCCTGGCTGCAGGGAAAGGGGGTGGGGGAGAAAGTGGAGGTGATGGCAGGTCCTGTGAGCCCTCCCTACCTGGTGTGGGGAGCAGAGAAGGCAGGTGAGGGTCCATGTTGGGAAAGCCCTGGGGCGCCTTGGGGAGCACATGCTGGAGAGAGTGAGAGTGTGCGGGGCAGGGAGGAGGCTCCTGCGGCCTGACCAGGGCAGGTGTGGTCACCTCCTCCCTGACCTTCTCCTCTGCCCTCCGTTTTTTCCCCTTCCTCACCCACCTTTCAGGACAGTCATGACCTCGGGGCTACAACTGGACCCTCCTGGCAGAGGTGACCTGTAGCCTCTGCCTTGAGACAGGGGTTCTGGGAACATCTCCTGTGGCCACAACTTTTGCCAGGCCTGTCACAGCCAAGTCACTCTGAGACCCACTGAGGGGCTACGTGCTGGCCATGCTGCCAGGAACCACCCCAGAGGGAACAGCAGCCCCAGTGGGTGTGTCCTCTGGGGCAGAACTGGCCAGTGGTCATTTTCCAGTAGCTACATAAATGAGGATCCCTGCAATCTGTTGCAGTCAGTGGGGTGTGACCAGTTTTGTTGAGGCCGCTTCAGCAGCAGGTTTGACACAAGCCACGGGGAGAGGGGCCCATGGTGTGCCAGGCCCCAAACTCGCATGCAGCCTGTGGGCATCCCTGAGGCCTGGCAGAGCTGACCTAGGCTGTGCTGTGGCAGGAGGGAGACCAGCCTGGTGGGCTGTAATAGAGGAGTGCTTGCTCTGGATGCCCAGGTGAGCATCTGGCCCTGCTGAAGACCACTCCCACTGTGATCCCTGATGATGGGGGGAGAGGGGACCTTACCGTGGGTAGCCTCTGGGCCCTTCAGATGGGTTCTGAGTGTGCCAGGCCCCAAACTCCTGCACTTCTGTGTGAGACTACCTGACATCAGTCATCTGGACACACTGGCAGGTGTTTCATTTATGAATACAGTGGCAGAATTGTAAATGGACCAATCAGATTCAAGCTCTTTTGCCATTTTGATTGGGATTTTAGTTAATTAATTTTTATTTTTTTATTTTAACATTTATCATTTTTTACATTTTTTAGATGATATTTGCTTCCCCCTAGCCCCTCAGATTGAGTGCCCATAGAATTTCCTTCCCCAAGGCACCCATGCACCATCACCACAGTCTCCTGTGCTGCTCCCTCCCTCCCTCTGATCCCTCTTCCTCCTCCTCCCCTGCAGTATGTCTTTTGTTTATAATTGTCTGTTTTTGCTTTGTTGTGTTTTGTACTGTTATTTATTTATTTTTTTTTACACTGATGTCTTATTTGGTTCCCCTATATTCCTGTTACAAGTGAAACCATCCGATATTTTTCTTTTTCCTTCTGGCTTATTTCACTGAACATAATTCCTTCTAGCTCCATCCACATTGCTGCAAATGGCATGAGTTTATCTTTTTTGATTGCTGAATAATATTCCATTGTGTATATATACCACATCTTCTTGATCCAGTCATCTATTTTTGGGCATTTGGGTTGTTTCTAGGTTTTACCTATTGTAAATAGTGCTGCAATAAACATAGGTGTACAGGTGTTCTTTTGAATCACTGTTTTTGTTTCCTTTGGGTAGATCCCCAGGAGTGGAATTGCCGGATCATATGGTAGCTCCATTTCTAGTAGACAGAGGAACTTTCAAACAGCTTTCCACAATGGTTGGACCAGTTTGCACTCCCAACAGCAATGTAGGAGAGTTCCTTTTTCACCACATCCTTGCAAACATTTGTTGTTGCTTGTTTTTTTGATATGTGCCATTCTTACTGGTGTAAGGTGGTATCTCAGTATGGTTTTGATTTGCATTTCCCTGATGATAAGGGATGTTGAACATCTTTTCATATGCCTATTGGCCATTTGCATTTCCTCTTTGGAGAAATGTCCTTTGAATTCTTCTGCCCATTTCTTGACTGGATTGTTTATTTTGTTTTTGTTGAGCCCTGTGAGTTCTTTGTATATCTTTGTGATCATTCCCTTATCAGTTGAATGGAATGCAAAGATTTTACCCAATCAGTGGGGTGTCTCTCTCTGTTTTGGTTAATGTCTCTTTGGCTCTACAGAAGATTTTCAGTTTGATGTAATCCCAGGTGTTTATCTTTGCCTTCACTATCACTGCTTTGGGTGATGAGTGTTTAAAGATGTTTCTGAGATGTATGTCTTGTAGTGTTTTACCTATATTTTCTTCTATATATTTTATGGTTTCAGGTCTTATGTCCTGTTCTTTTATCCATTTTGAGTTGATTTTTGCGCACTGTGAGAGGTAGTGGTTTAGTTTTATTTTTTTGCATGTGAATGTCCAGTTTTCCCAGCACCATTTATTAAACAAACTGTCCATGTTTTATTGCATATTCTTTGCTCCTTTGTCAAAGATTAGTTGTTCATAAAAGTGTGACTATTTCTGGGCTCTCTATGCGGTTCCATTGGTCTGTGTGTCTGTTTTTGTTCCAATACCAATCTATTTTAATTATTAGGCTTTGTAGTATAGCTTGAAGTTTGGAAGTGTGATACCTCCTTTCTCCTTTGTTTTCATCAGTAGGGCTTTGGCTATTCGTGGTTTTTTGTGGTTCCATATGAATTTCATCAGTATTTGTTCTATTCATTTGAAGAATATCATTGGGATTTTTATTGGAATAGCATTGAATATGTATATTGCTTTTGGGAGGATGGCCATTTTTTTTTTATAAATAATAAATTTTATTTTTATATTCCCCATAC